ATAATTATTTACATTATTTTAAAATATTCGTGTTTCTTTACATAGAATGAATATATATAAACATATATACATACACACACACACACACACATATATGTACACACACACAGACACGCACATACACATATTAATGCAAATATGATTTCTAAATGTGAAGTTATTTGACTAGACTAGACTAGAGTACTTGCCCGCCGTCTGTTTGCGAAGCTCCGCCCATTCAAATGACGACGTTTTTACTGACGCAATATTAAAGCGTCGGCGCGTCTGCACGCATGCGTCCCAGAGCGGCGACACCATTTTAGAGAAGGAAAGGAAAACTGGGACAGTTACTGGCAATCAGTAATAATATATCAGCAGTTTAACTAATAATAGCTCATGTGTGTGCTGAGAAACAGGGACAGATAGAAGATCCCCGCTGATCCACAGAAGAACCGGGTTCCGACATCAGCTCAGCGTCTGTTCTGGGTTTATTGTTGTTATTGTTGTGTGTGTGTGTGTTTTTGTGTTGTTTTTGTGTTCGGGAGAAACTGAAGCAGATGGATGGAGACGAGGAGATCCGCTCAGGTAACCTTACAACAACCACAACACACTGTTTTTATCCCAGACACTTACGCAACACTACCATGGTAATATCACGTATTTGGGCGCTTACCACGATAATACCATGGTATTCTTTGAAGTACGTTGGCGTAGCATGGTGTATGACTATAGTAAACATGCATTACCATCAGTACTGGGCAGTAACTAGTTATTAGTAACTAGTTACAGTAGTAATATTAGTTTTTGCAGTAACTAGTCGTTACTATCCATAAAACAGCTAGTTATTTACTTACTTTCGATGCCTCAACCCCAACTGATCCCGATAAAAATTCTATAAAATCTTTTTAGAGAATTAAACATTTTTTTATGAGCTTATATGAGTTCTTTTCATAAAATACAGCATGGAGTATAATCTTAATTATATTAGCTTCAAGCTACACGTGACAATTAATGAGATTAATACAACACTTTTACTCAAACGCTACTATTAATCACCACTGAGTGTTTGAAATAACTTCTGACTGTGATCCAATCAATGTGGATTTTGGTCAAATGATGAGGCAGAAATATATTGTTTGTAACATTTTATTAGAATTTTATGGGGAAGATATGCATCTTATGTGGGGTATGAAAGAAAAGTAATGTAACTAATTATTACTGTTGCCAAGAAGTAAGAAGTAAAGTAATAATATTACTTTTGAAAGGAGTAACTAGTAATGAGTAATATATTACCAACACTGATTACCATATAATTAATCAAATTACCGTGGTATTTTATTGTTTTGTGAATAAGTGCCATGGTAACACTGTGTATTTGTGCATTTACTACAGTAACAACATGGTATTCTTTGAAGTATGTTGGCGTAGCATGGTGTATGACTATAGTAAACATGCATTACCATATTATTCATCAAAGTACCATGGTATTTTCATGTTTTTTGGACAAATACAATGGGAATACCATGTTTTTGGTCATTTACACTGGGGAATTGTGCTATATAAATGGTGCACCATGTAAATACCATGGTGTAGGAGTATGATAAGCATGAATTACCATATAATTCATCAAAGTACTAAGACTCTGTATTTGTATTTGTTCAGATGATGGCAGCGCTACTCCAGTTCAGGACGAGCAGGACGAGGCGAGACCCGAATCACGACAGTCTGAGGTCAGTCTGATGGTTTGGGTTTAGTGCTTGACTTCAAGAAATAGTTCACCCAAAACTGAAAATCTGCTGAAAATATATTGGCCATCAGGTCGCCCAAAGTGTAGAGGAGTTTGTTTCTTCATCAGATTTGGAGAAATGTAGCATTGCATCAGTGTCTCAGCAATGGATGCTCTGCAGTGAATGGGTGCCGTCAGAATGAGAGTCCAAACAGCTGATAAAAACATCAAAATAATCCACAAGTAATCCACAGCACTCCAGTCCATCAGTTAATGTCTGAAGAAGACCAAAGCTGAAACAAATCTGTATTTGATTATCGCGATTTGAAAAACTCTCAGTAAATACAGTTCAGCTTTAATCAAAGTTATTAAGAGTCTCACGCAACACAATAACATTAAAAATTAAAATCCAGATTTTGATTTTCAAAGATTTCTTATAAAATTGTAAAAAAAAAAATTCCAAAATGCAATAAATCCATTGAATCAATATAAATGTTATTTTTCATATTGAAACTGTTGAAAATATACAACATAGTAAGTTGATCCACATATGACAGCCTCTGAACTTGGTCAATACTAATCTTATATACAGGCACTGGACTAAAAATACATTCAATCAGTCATAGCTCCAAAAAGAATTCAACGGGTCATCTTGTTAATGCTACAAATTAATTACAGCAATAAAAGACAATTTCATCATGAACATACATGAACAACAATATCACATTAAACCACAGAAATTCCAAAATGACATTTCCCTTACATTCAACTTCCAAAAGTGCATTCATCTTTGCC